GCTATGGTGAAGTGATATTTTTTTAATGGCCTGCTTGAAAACATTTCTCTCTTAATATCTGTGTAGCCCAGGTCGACTAAAAGAAGTCTGGACCGACGGTCAGGTAGTCGGTTCCACCTCTCAACACAACCAGCGCTAACCACTTCAAATTGTGACCTATCACACAAAAGTTGTCAAGCACCACTTTAAATAAAAGTTCTGCCAAGATTATCTCCAAAACGATAGCCGTGCGAGAGGGAGAAAAGAGAGAACTTTATCTTGTCACGCAGCCCTGGGAGACAAAATGCGAAAGCAAATGTCGAGGTTCTTCTTTCAGTCAGTCAGTTTCCGAAAAATTGAACCATGGTCCACAGATGACAAAACTTTACACTTACTTTGAGATTTTCTTATGTACTTGTGTTAAAACCATATCGAAAAAAAAGTTTTTGGGTTGAAATAAACTGTATAAATCGCTCTTTAACAGTGCTAAGCTAGACTAGGCTAACCTTGCTAACCCCTTCAGCTTTTTCACTTGTAAAAAAGGAAACACAAGAAAGCCTGCTGCTGTTGGCAGGACTCAATAGTTGGGGTTTTTTTTCATGACAGTTGAAAAAGACACCTGTTTTCCGAATTCGGAGCGTAATTTTTTTGAGGGAATCTTCAAAATGCTTCGAGGTGACATCATGAACAGTGCGTGTGTTCTAGTTTCAGATTTAGAAGATCAACATTTGGGCTTTTTTGGCTGTTTAAATAAGGCTGGAAAAGAAAAAAAAACAATCAAGTTACACCACAGAAACACAACTCGTCAACAGTGAGATAGAGTGGCTCTTGTGACTGGACCTCAGGACCTACAGGATCCACCAAGGGTGTTTCGTGACATCTAAAAATATGCTGCAATCATAACAGCATACCATTGATTTTTTGTGCTGCCCCTGGGACCTATAGCTTGACCTATAGAGATGGGAATCTGAATGTATTGATTGTCATTAAATAAAACAAACATTTTGACCTTAAAGCTCGGCTACATACTATATTAGAGGAAAACAAACAGGAAATGTACTTCGAGGATCATGCTTCTTAAACTACATGTAATAGTAAAAAGAAAATTGTGGATTTACAGTAGGAATAAAAGAAAAGGCATAAAAGACATTGTTGCAGTTAATATGAAAAATGATATCATTACTGTAAGTCCAAAGAACGTCTAAATGGATTTCTCTTATTGTCTGTGTCCTTTTAGTTCCTCCAGAGGTTTTTGTTATTGTCGAGACATTGTTGTGCTCCCTTTCTCTTGGTTCTGAAAATAGCTAGGGACATATGTGGGAAGACAAACAATTAATATAGACACTTCAAGCAGTCAGCCTTTGACTTTGAGGCTGTGTGACGCTGTGACTTTTTTGTGAGCGTAGGAAAAGCTGCACGACGCAGGGAAGGAGGCTCGGTGAAGATGAGTCACATCATCATTCCTCACCCAGTTTGGCCCATCGTGGAGCCTACTTTTAGGTCTGTTTTTGGTTGTCTGTGTGCGGATGAGAAGCGACAGAGCTACACATGTCTCTCAGTTCTTGGGTCACAAACTAAGAAGTGCAACTTAGAACGAAGAATAGTTGGAATTACTTGTCGAACGTAAGGCAGCTTTGTGTTTTGGGGCCAATGGAACAGGGGCTAGTTTGCTGTTTACAATTTATGATTAAACCTGATTAACTAGTTTGCTGTTTACAATTTATGATTACTGCCAAAACTATGTGTTATGGCGGTAGATAGGTTCCATGGCCTGCCGCAAAAACTGAATTTCCACGAAGTAGTGACACCATATTTATGAGCAGTAAAATGATGACAAGGAAGGTGATGATGACTTTGATGTTATGATTTTACGTCTCTTCAGAGGGTGGCGCCATTTTTTGGGGCACCTCTTCCACGGTTTCCGAAGGTGTATCTGTAGTAGTAGCAGGAACTGGCTCTTTTTTGCGAGGCTGCCGAACATTCTGATCGGACGTTGCTTCTGCTGCTTCTTTTTCCAGTCGAAGAGTAGCTTGTAGGCAGTCACGATGTCGTCGGTTTTGTTGCAAAATTAGACCGATCGAACCATATCGTCGTCCCATTCCTGTGACATCTCTGGCAGATCCGAATCCAGGATACAGTATATTTTATATATGCAGTTTAAAAAACCTGCGAAGTCGTAAATCCGCGAAAGATGAACCGCGAACTAGTGAGCGACTACTGTAATACCTTCCTCACTGGTCTCAATGAAACTCTGCTTAGATAGATGGTCACTTATGTCGCCTGAATCTATTCCTCCTCCCTGATTCTCGTTTTCCAAATCAATTCGAATCATTACTTTGTCCTCCACGCAAGACCTCTTTCAATCCCTGTTGCCACCAACACTGTCCGCTCCATCCACCACTGAAAGAAGATTGTAACTCCAAACATGCGAGGAAGTATTCTAAGCTAAATTTCCAGGGT